TTTATTGAGATTTTTAAATAGGTAATATCAACAAGTCGAGAACTAGTTTTTGTCGAGCCTCTGGCTAAAAAAATAAAACCACTTTTAGTAAATACTTACACGCTTACTTTTAACATTGTCGGGATAAAAATAAGCCACGTGGGCCACTTATCTTTTTTATTCAAACAGAAGTTGATGTAAAAGTTTTGTTTATAGAAAAAGTTTTGTTTAAAGAAAAGATGCTTAATTGTTTATTACAGGCAATCTTCATAGTAAAAATTTATAGGTTGTGAATTGCGTTGAATTTAATTAATTATTAAAAAACATAAATGCATATTTGTTTGTTTGTAACTATGCATTAATAATAAACCGATAAAACTTTCATAAGTTATCTTGTAGGTAGGTAACTATGCATTAATAATAAACCGATAAAACTTTGATAAGTTATCTTGTAGGTACTTCGAGTAGGTTTCAAACGTAGTTTCCCTTTATAATAAAATTTTATGCCATCCCTTAAGGGGGTGAGAATAGGGATGAAAGGTTGTATGGGGAAGCAAACTAGGAACAAACCCGAGCGAAGCGAGGGCGAGTTGTTAGTAATACATAAAACAACATCTCGTACGGAAATAAAATACAACCTCTACAAAATTCAGTGCCAGTTAGGCTCATCAACAAGCAATTTATTTTCTGGCCTTGATATGGCTATTTCAACATAGGTCATTTTACGGTAGAACTGTGTTTAGCTTTATCATTATATTTGCTTCAACCTTGTAATTTAAAAATCTGTTTTATTATTTTTAATATTTTTAACGTACAAAGAGAGATTTGTTCAGTGGATAAACTATATATTAAAGTTTCTTTTTCAAATGTTAAATTAAAGTAGCCCAAGGCAACTAACTATATTGCTCCTTTAAATAAACATAGACCGATATCACTATATATGCTGGTAAATATTTGTCTTATTTGCTGAATGTTCATTTACCTACTACTACATTATACATATCTCCTGAAACATGTTTACGCAGTATGTCGCAACACCAAGCGGTTTGGTTAGGCAGACCTTGAAATAAGCACAATGCACTTAGAGATAGCGAGATATATAAACACTATTCACAATGACATAAAAATTTGAAAGTAGACAATGGTTGATAAAAAATATAATTAGCAAAAAAAATATATAATTTTTAATTATAAAAAAAATAACCAAATTGTATGTGTTATTTATTATATTATGTTTAAGTTTAGAATAATAATATGAATACTATCTCAAACTATGTAGAAAGTTATTTATTTCTGAAATAATAAATAAATATACTTATAGTTTTTTATGAATAGTGAAAGTGGATATTTTATTTCATTTGCAGTTCTTATGTAAAGTTGATTCTACATACGACTATTTTTGTACAAGTAGAGCACAAAGATATCAGACTCTACAGATTTTATATTTCCCAATTGGCACTAATTTCGAATTATTAAAAATGAAATCAATAATGTTTTAATAATAAAATGATAAAAAATATATATTATTATTGCAGGTTTGATGAAAGCGAGAAGCCTTCAAATTGTAACCAATGGAACAGGAACGGCTGAGTCAATGATAAGGTCTATTACGAAAACGTAAACTGAACCAAACAACTTTTCGCGACAGCGATTTATAACCATGGAGCAACTCATTCTGGTCATAGCGATTGTCATTTCATTTATAAGTACAGGTGGGTCATTATTCTAATTATAGCAATTAATTGTCGTGTGTTCATCTAAACTTAAGATTACGGGTTCGATTCCTATACGAGTAAAAATATATTATGTTAGCCATGACTGTGATAAACCATATGGTTGTATAATACAAAAGAAATTAAATTTATATGCGTAAGCTCAACGAATTTCTTACAATAACGCCTTTTCGTTTTCTGAAGTCAGAAAATGAAAACAAGATACTATATCAGATATACAAAACCAGTAGTAATGATAATATTAAATTTCTATATCTATCTATACTTATTATAAAAATAAGTCCCCCGGCCGCGTCTTTCTGTCCTCCTGTCTGTCCTCCTGTCTGTCCTCCTGTCTGTCTGAACGCGATAAACTCGAAAACTACTGAACGGATTTTTATACGGTTTTCAACAATAGAAAGAGTAATCCTTGAGGAAGGTTTAGGTATATAATTTATTATGCTTTTATGTAAATTAGCTGAAATACGGCGACAAATGTTGAAGAGGTCGCAAAAAATCTCGCCAAATGGGAACTTTCCACGCGAACGCCGCGTAAACTAGCAAAGATACAGTTAAGTAATGTACTAGAGAATTCAAAATCTATAAAAATGCTACAAAAAAGTCCGCGATAGCATATCTCTATCTCTTACGGTTGACTTACAATAACCACTTTTATGTTAACATTTTTAATTAAAAACATTACGTTATTTTCAAAGTTATTTTCTTTAGTTCGGTATTAATCCTTATCCAAATGAATATTTTAGTTAGCTTAGTCATTTAATGCAGATTAAAATTGCTCTTTACACTAAATCAATCAGATGAATAGTTTTTGAGATATCGTTGTTAGAAGTAATTAGTAGCGAAACATTTTTAATGCTTGGCGAGCATTGAGATGCCTACGGCGAGTCCATCCCCTCTGCCCCGCATCGCTCGACCGCCTGCTCAAGCTATATAAACCGGGCGATGTAGCGCGCGATCCTAGGATACTTTTTACCGCGGGAAAATATCTTATTTCTGAGGAAAAATACAAAAACTGCAATGTAAGAGTATACTAATATGTAACACCTAAGAATTTAGTTTTTGGTCATCTGAACGCGGGCGGAGCCGCGGGCAATGCTAGTAATAAATAAAAAAACAACTGTTTATGAAAAGTAGGTAAGCAAATGTTTGTATCGAAAAAGAAGTACATGGAACATTTTTTAGACTACATAAAATTATCATTGTTAATTTTCCTTGTAACACATTTGAACTTGCATCCGGTATTATGATGTTAAGTAAATTAAGTAAAATTAATAGTCATGAGTATTATATGTATTATATAATGACTATTCTAAGTTTATTGCCGAATTTTATTCCAAGCTATTATTTTAATTTTAAAACTTAAAATGCTATCATATATAGAGTCCTAAATTATAAAAAGCCCAGAATAAAAATGTTAACTAATAAAATTTGTCAGTCAGATTGTTCTAAGTTGTCAGGAAACTGCTGACGGCCACCACCATTGTTCTAACATAGTACCTACCATATGTTAAAAGTAGGTCGCACATATGTTAAACTAAAATAGAATATCCTTAAGAACTTCATAAGTAGTAAGTACATATTTACTTGTAGCAAATATATGACTACAATTATTGCAATAATTGATCAAATCAAATATGATAGTTTTACAAGTGAACAGTTTTCGGTTTAATATTGTTGCTATAAATTATAATATCACTAGCGACTCACCCTCGCTTCACTCGGGTTCGTCCATATCAGATACGTTCTAACGGTTAGTATGAAATAGAAATCTTTGAATTTCTCGGCTTTCCTGTACTATAATACGCATGTATTATACATATAAAACTTCCTCTTGAATCACTCTATCTATTACTTAAAACTGCATTAACATCCGTTGAGTGGTTTAAAAGATCTAAGCGAACAGACAGCGGAAGCGACTTCATTTTATACTATGTAACGATAATTAGCAATCTAAATAAATTGTAATGCATAAAAAAGCGAAATACCACTTACTCACTATTTAATAATGGAATCTCAGAAAATGTAATGCTACATTATGAAAGGATCTGTTTAAATGCAACCTTGGTATAAAAACGTGTATATCATTTTTAAAGTTAAAAGTAGCCAAAATGGAGATAATTATTTAGATTAAAAATGAGGACAAATAAACAACGAGAGCAGAGCCGAAGGAAAACGCTTCTAGATTAATATAATGAATGTATATTTGACTAAATTTTCATTGATTAATCGTGTTGGAAGTTTTGATTACGGATTACTTATTTTATCTTAATTCCGAAATCTGAATATCAAAGACCTCCAATAAAAGTTTTTCTCAAATATCTTCTATGTGCAGACAGCGATCAGTTACAATTTTATTATGTATGTATAGATTACAATATTGAAAATTTCATTTATTCGAGTTTTGTGGTGATAAATTTCAATAAAACCATTTTAAGTTTAAATTATTTCACTTTTAAATATGTATAATGATTTTTTTATAAAAAGAATGCAATATAGTATCTACGTCACATTCCAATAAATCTAACTTGCTAACGCGGACTTGCGGAATTTCCATGAGTCATACTTCATACTTGATAATATTATAACCGAGCAACTTTTATAATTATAATTAACACAACATACAACGGTACTGAATAATGGTGAATGATGTGAGTCATTTCAAGAGCATCAGTTGAAAAAGATTTACCTAAAATTTATTTTTTAATAAATTTTCAAGTTCTTGTTATTTTTATTGTAATTTAAATAAATGGGGACTGGAAAAGTGACTTAAATTAATAAAATCGTGGCGAGCTTACATACCGTTTGGTCACAAAGCTAATATTTATATTTTTAAGAAAGATTTAAAAAAAGTATGGCTGTGGTTTGGTTTTAAAAAAGTTGATAAAGCTTCAAGATGAAGATAATATAACAAATAAACTAACAATAACCGTACTCGGGTTACTAGACCAAGTACAAATTATGCGACGAAATACAGTTAAGCTGCCGTCATAATAAAGAAGGTCCTAACTAACAATTTGGTCAAAAATGACTTAAATGCAGATTCAGAATCAGCAAAAAAAATGCTACTTGATGGTCTTACTCATAAGGCTCCAAGTCTTATGAATCCGGAGATACCATAACTATTTTCATCGTAACTACTCATACGTCAAAACTAGTAGTAATTTTGACGTAGTAGTATGACAAAACTTCAAATATCTCGAAATCAACCTTGACGAAGTTGCGACCTTCTTTTTTATGACGGCAGTATGGATTTCACATAATTAAAATAATGACAATAAATTATTATTAATAATTTGTTTGTCTTACAACTCCACTAAAAAGATCATATAACATTAAGGAGAATAGAGCTATCGGAGCAGCTATGGCTATCACTCTATATCCTGGTGTAGGATCTCCAAAGTCATAACATAACCCAGTGTAAGTTCTTCCATTCTCAATGCAAGAAGATCCAGGAGATCCTACTTCATATATTGGCTCACCTGAGTCACACCTCGACTCACTCTCATCAATAAATGTGTATTTTGCAACCAACCTAGCAATCATACTCCTTGTACCGTTGACTCCATTATCGAGATGTTCTCTTACCCAACCCTCTTTATAAACTTTAGTTAGACTATCTAAGCCCCATGACGAATCTGTTGTTTGCAGGGTCTCTGTTGTTAATTCTCCGTTATTCATCTTTAATCCTCTTTGTATTGAAATATTTATGAATGATTTTTCAGTAATAGGAATATGGTTCCATTTTATTCCTAAAGAAGATAAAAAATTTAAATCTGTTAAGTTTTTATTATTACGCATATATGATATATCTTTGTGATTTATTATGCCACAAAATAATTTCGTCTCTAAGTAAAATGGTGCCCCTGGAGAAAATTCACAGATAACTCTAATATCACCATTAGATTGTTCGCCGTAAGCGCACCCGATTTTCCTTGTCTCAGCCCAAAGCAGCTGAACTGTGTTGAACGTGTTTACGGTTGTCCTGCCACATTGGATATCCGTTACCGTTAAATCCTTTCCAGCACTTGAAAACCAAACGTGAATACATCCAATAACAGGGTGAACAAAGCATTCAGGCCTAGGCGTGCTAAAATCACAAATACAAAGGATATGTCATTGAATATGTAACAATTTACTTATCCATTATCTTACTTACCACTGTGTGATAGCTTCTGATTTTTTTAAGCAACAATATTGCATATATTTTGAACATTCTAGTTGGGAAACAATTTGTCCATCAATAGCAGAACAAGGTGCTGCTCCTGGTAAACATTGGCGCAACCACGCTTCCGCTATCTTTTCTAGATCATAATCGTAGTTAATTTGTTTCATATTTGCAGCAGTAGGCAAATGAGAATATTTATTAACTAATCTGTGAGCAACACGATTTCGCATTGAATTAATAGTATTTGTAATAGTAATGTGGTCCAAAATTGTAGGCACGTGAACTTTATATTTTTTATGACATATGTTTGAGTTATCATTATTTGGAAACAAGCAAAGAGTATGATCTCCATAGCATGGTTGTACTCCACACCATTTATTACTAACGTGCGACATTGGCGGATCTCCTGCTTTATAAGCAGTTTCTTTTTTTGTCCAATGATCAATAACATTGACTAATTTCCCTCCATAAATTAAAAATACATCAGATTTCTTTTTCCTTTCTCCTAGCTCACCATAAATAATAGGTAATTCCCAACAAGGAAACTCTTGAGGGACATACCAGATATTGTTATCCAATGATTTATTATATTTTGTTTTAATATTAATCTTGGCGATCGCCGGTTCTAAATTATAAAATTTTGCATATGGTGTCTTATTTATTTCTGTGTTGTTTAGTTTATTAGGTATATTACTATTCAGATTTTTTACTTGATTGATTTCTTCACGTAATATTAGTGACAAATCGTCGTTTACAGTATAATCATAATCATATTCTGTAAAGGATTTTAAGTCAAATATGGCTTTAAAACTTGCTTTTGTACATTTCTTTTCACTTAGAGAAAGATTTCTAGTTGTTTTAGGATCTGCATAGCTTTTTACATTACGAACAACACTTTTATAAGGTCTTTTTCCTTTTCCAATTTGATAAGACAATATTATATTTTCTTTTCGATTAGTAGTGTCATAATCATTTCTTTTTGGTAAACTGCTGAAAATACTAAAGGAATCATTTAATGTTACCTGAGACAAATTATGTTTTACAATTAACCTTCGGGCATTAGAATCATTAAGTACGGTTTCATTTTTATTATCTAATAAATAGTCATCGTTATAATAATCTTCACTGATACTAACACATGCATGTAATATTACACAATATATAAATAAAGTAATATTTATAATAGATTTTGGCATGTTAAAATTTGCAAATCCAACTAGATTACTGTTTTTATGTAGCTATTTTTATGTTTATTTTACAAAAGGTTTTTATACATTTTGAAAAGACGTAATTGAAAAGTTCCAATTAAAAAATTATAATATCTTATTATATATATTATATTATTTCAACGAAATTGCTTAAAACAACATATTTGAATGCATATTAATATATAGCAATATTATACTCCATATTAATATTATTTAGTGAATAAGATGCAAAGAAAGCAAAATTCAAAGTACGATCACCTACCGAAGCATGTGTAATGCAAACGCGTGTGGGCGTCAAAGAAAATGCATGATTCATAGCACAGTCAGCAATACAATGGATCATGTTGAATATTTTATTTCTAAGCATGTAAGAGTACCTAATTCACTTCGGTCACTATTGAAGACTATAAATCTATTAGCGGATCGCTCACATCGCCTCTATAAAAACAAATCTATCCTACAGGAACCGTACATTTTTCCGGGGTTAAAAGTAGCCTATGTGCTATTCCAGACTATAACCTATCTCTGTTGCAAATTTCATCCAGATGAGTTCAGCCGTTTTGGCGTGATTGAATAACAAACATCCATCCAAACATTCAAACTTTCACATTTATAATAATATTATGTTAGTACAAATCATAGGGAGTTTATTTAAAATTTCATGATAATCAGTATCTAGATAATTCAGAAAAGTGCCCTTAGGTACTAATTATTTCACACTTGGCATGAAAATTTGTACATAATATTCTTCATAAGCTGTTTTACGTTTATACATACAGCCGACTCTCTATACTTTGACACTCGTTATTTTTAATCTCTCGATAATTAGAAATTTTCACCGGTCCCTTGAAAAACACTCGATAAATTGAATAAAATATTAAATGGTCCCTTCGGTAATTTGAAGTTGAAGAAGTAGTATCTTGCCTACCAACATTCAATAATTTGAAGTCCGGGCTCTTCTCTCTATTGCTTACATGAATGATATACGAGTTTACAATCTAGTCTTTTTTGAAACGTTTAACGTTCTGTTAATGTTTGATTTGTGGTATTTATTTTTTAAGTATCAAAATGAGTTCAAGAAGGAACAAGTGTCGTCCTTCCGTAAGCCCCCCCCCCCCTTCCTCCCCACTCCCTATCGAGAGTCGACTATGTTCATTTACCTGCAATTATACAGTACATACTTCTATTCTCAAAATAGTATCTTATAGCAAAAACAATTATTTTTTAAGATTACTTGTTGGGACGAAGTTCCTTATCTCACGTTCGACACACTTAACGAATGAAAGCTAGACGGAAAAAATGTAATTGATCGTCACGACACTTTTTATTATTTACTAAGAGCACCCCATGAACGTAATCATAAGTACCAGGCGATCATAAGTGTTAAGGAATATATGTTGTAAGAAATTTCGTGTGCACTCTGTCTAGACCTTTCTTCGATGATCTTCAACATGTACATTGTACAGTGTACGTTGCTTTATGTTTATGATAACCTAGCACTCGTGATAATTTTGATGACCTAATTTATGAGCCAAGGACAGACAGCGAAAGAAAGTTGTTCCTACCGGGTATCCTACGACACTTCTCGACTTTTCATTTACCTTTCGCAATATCCATTTAAATAATATATTATTTTGAATAATTACTTTTTAAATATAAATTTCATTTAAAAACTTACTCCGGTTTGAAGTTGGTTAAATCTTAAAATATATTGCTATTCTTATATATTAACAATTATTATATATTTCTAGCATAAGCCGCGTTGACACGATCAAAGTTAACTTTAACAAAGTAGTTTTGATGACTACTTTGACGCAACTTTAGTCATGTAAACCTAAATAAAAAAAAACAAAATCAAAGCGCACTTTGATGTGGACGTTAATCAAAGTAGATTTGGACCGTTTTCTACTTTTCTCAAAGCCTCCTTTGACAAAGTAGTTTTGATGAATACTTTGATCATGTAAACAAGCAATCAAAACGCACTTGGAGCCGTGTTTATCATAGAAAACTTAATTTCAAAACTTTTTGTCAAAACTACTTTATCAAGGCAGACTTTGAGCGTGTGAACGTGGCTATATCATGTTACCTTTTTTATATGTCATCCCCGTGTCAAAAAAAAATCATATATAACCTTCATCTTTAGAAGAAAAGTTTACACTATTTAAATTGGTTTTCAGAGGTATCATCATTGCAGTGTTATCAATGTTTAATCAATCCTCCGCCTGGCCAGTATTATAACACAACGAAAAGGCTTTGTGTGCATTTCGACCATTCCGAAAAATTCATCGTCGACTGTCCGTTTTCAACTATGTGCATGAAGCAAGAGTTTCATCTTGATATACAAGATGGAGGTAAATTTTATGTTTAATTTATTATGATTGAATGAAATAAGTATTATACTTACTACCAAATAAATTTGAAGAAAAAATTTGACAATGTCAATACAAAATTTATTGTGTAATCTAAATTTATTTTAAAATATATCAAAAATAACATTAATAATTGAATTAATAGTATAAAAAATGTTTTAAAACACAACAAAATCGAAAGTGCATAATATTTAACACCATTCAGACAAAGAAAGACAATAGCATTCCCAAGGAGGGTTGACGTCAGGCAGGCGGCCGGTCGTAAAACTTTTGCCAAATCCTATCAGCAGTACACTGAAGATGTACTGCGCCGACCCCAAGTGATTTGGGAAATGGGCAGGGAGAAGAAGACTTACTACCAAATACAACAAAATAAAAGAATTGCTATCATTTACATAATAATATAACATTACTAGCGACTCACACTTGTTACGCTCGGGTTCGTCCCTAGCTTGCTTCCCAATACAAAATTTCATTCCCATTTTTACCCCCTTAAGGGATGATTTCCGGGATAAAAAATATCCTATGTCCTTCCCAGGGTCTCAAACTATCTTCTTACCAAAATTCTAATCTAAATCGGTTCAGTAGATCCAGAGATTACCCCCTACAACGTCACAAATTTTACCTCTTTATAATATTAGTATAGATTTAGAATGTTGTTGTATTATTTGTAAATCGTAAAAGAATAATTTTATTTTACTATATTTATAGTTTTACATAAACAAAAAAGTATATTTTTATTTTCTTATTCCTTTAAAGGCTTATTATACTAGTAAACATTAGAACAAACATGTTACATTTTAATACATTTTCAGTAAGAATCACTGGTGTACTTCGAGATTGCGCTCCACAGAAAAACGAATACCAGGATTACAAAAATGGGAGGTGGTCACCTAAGACGGAAATTTTAGAGCCCTATGAAGAAGGCTGTTCTCAAATCGATAATAAGGGAGAGAGAACCACTTCGACGAGGTAGTTAATTTTATTTTAATTTAATTTTTAAGTGATAGGATTTTTCATCAGAACATTAATTATAAAAAAAATTTGAACGACAGATTCCCTAGATCTCAAATTATATTTATTTCTTAATTATGTTTTAAGATGCCTTTTATAATTAACCTTCATAGTCATATTTAAGGTCGTAAAGGGGAATGTACGGTTGTGACCATCGTGTTTATAGTTTGGAATCTGTACATTGAATATTTTTTGGAAAACCTTATTGAAATAGATTTTACTGTCGATACAGAGGCCGAATGTATAGTTTTTAGAATTTTTGTCTTTCTGTCTGTCTGTTACCGCATCACGGAAAAACCACTGGAAGGATTTTAATGAAATTTGGTATGGTGATAGCTGGTTATCCGGGTTAACATATATGATACATTTTACCGCTGGAAAATATCTCATTTCTGAGAAAAAATACAAAAACTGCAATGTAAGAGTATACTAATATGTAAAACCTAAGAATTTGGTTTTTCTCATCTGAATGCGGGCGGAGCCGCTAGCAATGCTAGTAAAAGATATAACATATTATTTATAAAGAGACTAATATAAGTTTTATCCGTGCAGATAAAGAATGGTATTAGAAATAGTGGTTTTTTGATTTGTGGCATCTATTGTAAGCAAACTACGCGAGAATTTGTTTTATTATTTAATAAACATCTCATTATACATCTAATCGTATTTAAAATGACGTGTTGTTATGGATTTCGTCGCGGTATTACTTTGGATTTTTGTTCCCAACATTTCGAATGCTTTACAGTAAACATGGTCACGGGAAAGACTTATTTTAGACGTCTCAAAAGTTATTATATAATATGCGTAGTTGTTACAGACTGTAATCTACCCACAAAATTATACAATAGTTTGTAAGAAATAGAAAAATGGCACCAAGTCAAAGTTTTATAATTTTAATAAGTTATATAATTCAATAATTAATATTTAATTATTAATATTAAATATTAATATCCCTTCCGAAATTCAAAATAAAACCGCAACAAAATCGGAAAAGATAATTTCATTTAAAATGTTGATATCCGCGTAAATCTAAGAAAGTATAAGTAACGGTATACATATTTGAGAAAATTTAAACTATTTTAAGATCGTGAAATAAAATAAAGTCACAAATTATATTTTTATTTATATTTCACTGTCACTGTCAAGCTGTTAAAAGTTGATAGACAGTTTTACGTTTATAATCTATACATACAGATAATAAAACTGTAGAGGTCGAATGTCTGTTTATAGAAAAGAATGCTAAAAACGGGGATGGAACAAATCCATTTTATTTTCAATTTTTTTGTTTCTATGTCTGTCTGTTTGTACAGGCTAATCTCCGAAACTGTAGGACCGATTTTAATGAAATTTTGCATGGTGGTGCCTTATATCTCCGGTCAACATATTAGATACTTTTCATCCCGGAAAAATGAACGGTTCCCGTGGGATAGATCTGTTTGTGATTTTCTAGAGGCGAAACCGAGCGAAGCGATAGTGAGCCGCTAGTATTAGCTAATTCTAAAGATGTAATTGAAGAAGGTACATAGATTCGAGTAGGTATATATCCAATATATTTAAACGAGCAATTCTATATATAAATTATATATTATCTGAATCTCGGAAACGGCTCCAACGATTTTCATAAAATTTAGTATACAAGGGGTTTCGGGGGTGATAAATCGATCTAGATTAGTTTTATGTCTGGGAAAACGCGTGTTTTCGAGTTTTCATGCAGTTTTGTTTCGCATTATTCCACGCAAAATATGGTCGCTAATTCGTTATGATATAAGCATCATGGTCAAACGGCCAAGGCGCAAATTTGACAACCACAGGTGTCTGATTTCGTATCCCGATCGGATAAATTTTAATTTTGTTTCTTTTTGTATCTATTCAAATTTTAGTTTGTTTTTTTTAAATGTTGTTTTGGCTAAAAACTTCGAGCGAAGGTCGGATACCTGCATTATTACCTACCTATTTCAGATTTACATAATATTTGGTGTATTCAAAATTTTTTTTTTATGAAATTTATTTTTTATTATTGCTTTTCTCTTTGAAATAGAAGCTAAATACAAATGCTGATGAATTATTATCTCCTTTCAGATATTGCTATTGTCGTCAAAGTCTATGCAACTCATCACCTACTTCTAACCACGAGGGTTACACGGACATTATGGGTGTGATAATGGTTTTTAACCTTATGAAATACATTAACAGCCTTAGGTAGTCTGTTGTTAAATGTTAATAGTTAGGACAATTAAATAAATGTAACTATAATAAAATATGTGCTCTGAAAACGAGGAAATTGAAATCAATCATCAATCAATATTTTTAACAGCTAACTGTGACAAATTGTGGTTTAAATTCTATATTTATATATTCCATTCATTTATATATTTCATTTATACATTCTATATTTATATATATATATATATATATATATATATATATATATATATATATACCATAACATCCTTATATAAGGATACGCTAGCAATATTTTATACACGCTTTACTGATTTACTTATTAGATATTATAATAAATATAGGAAAGCTAAAAGCTATGAGCTAATATGTGATACTTTGTGATGTTACTAAAGCAGTGATTGTAAAAGTTGTATGTTATTTTTTGTTTTTTATTTTAATAAAAAATATTAAATTATTTCTTTGATAATTTTATATGTATATAACAATAGATAATATTTAATTATTATGTTTCGCTAGCTAATTTACTTTAATTTCAACTTAGAGAAATGCTTTTTGTATTGTTATATTTCTAATATTCATATATAATATTTATAATTATTAATTATATTTACAAAAAGACATTCAGGAAGATCTAGACTAAGGTCTATCTATACTAATATTATAAAGAGGTAAAGTTTGTGAGTTTGTGACGTTGTAGTGGGTAATCTCGGAATCTACTGAACCAATTTAGATGTGATACTTTTTATCCCAGAAATCATCCCTTCCAGGGGTGAAAATAGGGATGAAAATATGTAGTAGGAAGCAAGCCAGGGACGAACCCGAGCGAAGCAAAGGTGAGTTATTTCAAATATTTAAGTTTCATGATAATTATATAAAATTATATATATATAAAATAAATTTATTATTGAGTGTTCAAGCCATATTAAACTATGTATAAATTTTTTTGAGCCAAATTGAAATAAGTTTGTTAATAGTACGGACTACAGACTCCTCGTGAAGTAGTGAATAAATCGAATAATTAAAAGCATTTTTATTTTTTTATTATAGCTGCTACAGAATTTGTAATCCTTATATTATCCTAAAGAAGTGATATCTCAATCTGGGAGTGTTTGGAACATAACTATGTCAATATTATTGTAGTAATTACTCTTTTAATTCATCATTTACTATCTAGATATGCATACTTAAATTAAAAAAAATATATTTTAACACGTATAGTACAGACTCTAAACTAAAGCCTTTATCACATAAAGCGAAAAGACGTACAGTAAAATATACCTAGATAGAAAAATTTAAAAATTGTTTATAAATAATAAAATTAGGTTTTTTTAAAAATCTATTTACTACGAATTTAATTTCGGATATTACTAAGCTGTTAAAGATCATACCGGCTTAACTGAATGGTCGAGTGCGCACACTGGCTAACTGCAGACCACCACTTGTAAGCCTTTTCCATACATATAAATACATAAATTTCAATCTTGTTCAAAATTGTAACAATTGACTGACTATCGGCTGGTCGTATTAACTTATGAACCTGTAACAATTTGTTGAAATTACTTCTATATGTAGCTTATGTCATACTTTTGCGTTTCAATAAACGAAGATTGGTTACAATACCTATCTTTTACACTGATCTATTTTTCTTATTTACCGCTCACCAAAGTTAATAAATGCATAGAAAACTGACCAACTACAACTGATAACTAGCCAAGTCAAATCTTGAACCACAATAATTATCTTAAGTTATCTACTCTGTGTAAACGAATCGACTGTTCAAATTTAATAAGTTCTATTTTTAAATAGCAAACACTTTTGTAGCAGACAAAAACAAGAAATTGTATTTTAAATTTATTTTAGAATGTGGTTCTTATGAAAAAATTTCAGCATTATCTACAGAACTTGGCACCCGTTTAGATCTCAATTCTTTCGTCGGTGAAGTTGACAATCACGCATATTCTTAATATTGAACTTGGCTCCCATTTTTACATTTATGTTTTTAATGGGATTTAATAAACTTGAATCTGTTATGGGACCTCCACGTGTTGGACCTATGTCCCCGGAAATACTAGTGATACAAATACTAGTAATAATAATTAATTGTATCAAAATAAAAAAAATATATAATATGAACAAATAGCTATAAGTTAGTAGGATATATGTATTTTAAGCAAATTAAACTGTAACTTTAATGAAATTAAACTGACATACAGTTTTTTGAAATGCAATAATAATACATTGCCAAGAGTTGAAGTTGATCACCAAAGATAAGAAACCTAACAAATATTTTTACCAAACCCCGGCAAAGAATTTTAAAAAATCAAACTATATATTTATAATATGATATTTCTTATTATTTTTTATATGTCGATATTGATCAAATAAACTTCAATGTGTTGCTGAAATTTTAAAGAAACAACATTTAAAAGTTTATTGATCCAAATGTTTTTACTTTTAAATAAACATGACATACAACTAAATTATATAGAATTCTAAATAAATGCAACCTACTTGGAAGATAAAATAAAATATAAAATTAAAGGAGTATACTATCTTTACATCTCCCCCCATAGAGAGAGAAAATTTACAGTAAAATTTTCATTAAAATTATTATATACATTCTCTTCGTTTAATGTATGTGTTGGAATGAGTTTTGTGATATGAAAAAGGTTCGATTCTGTTTTTCTGTGACCCATATTTATTCTGTATATAGAGTTAGAAATTTTTTCAATAATCTCATATGGTCCAATTTTCAATTCATCAAATTTTTTTCGGTTTAGCTTGTTCCCATTTTCAACATATACCATATCTCCTACATTAAGTTCAATATATTTTCTATTCTTGTCAAATAGCATTTTGTTGTATTTATGTGATTTTATTGTATTCTCAAGTGCTATTTCCCTATCTCTGATCCAGTCACTATGGGACTTTTTTTCCACCAACTCATTTGGTAAAATTGTGACATCTGTACCGTATAAAAGGTAGCTTGGAGAATAACCAGTGACTGAGTGATTAGTTTGATTATATTTATTTACACATTCATGGGCGATAGTTGTCCAAGCTCGCTTATTTCCTTTTCCATTAATTTTGCATCTGATTTTATTTACCAATGTTTGATTTAACCTTTCGTTTAGTCCATTTGAGAATGGTGAATATCATAGGTATCTGGTTGTTTCTTAAAAATGTCTTAAAATCTATCGAATTTATTCCAGGGTATTGATCACATAGTAGCGTACCGATAGTCTCCGTTTGTGTTACATTCATGACTAGTTTTATAAAATCATTTGCGTTCTGAGTTTTAGATGTAATAATATAAGCGTATCTCGTAAAATGATCTACTAACAGATGTAAATATTTTTTTGTCAATCTTGAACCTCCAAAACCTCCAATTGTATCTATAGACATTATTTCGAAAGGTTTTGTGGCCGGGCCTAGATGTGACATGAACCCAATTTTGTCACGTCCTCTTGATTTATTTTTTATACATAGCTCACAATTTCTACAAATTTGTTTGATATTCTTGATCAAATTTCTGGCTGTGTAAAATGGAATAATTGTCTTCTGCATCTGCCCAATACCAATATGGCACAGGTTTTCATGGATGTGTCTTAAAAGTTTAATACTAAATTCTTCTGATAGAATTATTTTTTCTCAGTTCCCTATTTTTTTTAAGTATAAACTGTGTTTCTCAATCATCTTGCTTTTATTTTTTTGTACTTCTATATTATTATTCTGATCTGTTAAAATATCTTCCAACTGTACCAAATTTACAAGTTTTAATTGTTCGTCTATATTTTCTTCAGATTCTAATACTGGGTTTCTACTTAGGCAATCGGCTTCTAAATTTTGTTTACCTGGAGCATATTTTATTTTAAAATCATATTGTGATAGGCAATATATCATATCTCCTAATTCTTCATCTGTTCTCGATTTTAAATTCATGCTTTCTAGGGGTTTATGGTCAGAATATACTGTAAATGATTTGCCAATTAACCAGTATTGCCAGTATCTCAATGCTTCTTTTATTGCTAAGCATTCCAAGTATATAGCTTTCTTCTTTTTTTGAGCTCCATTTAATTTCTTAGAAAAGTAAGCTACTGGTTTTTCCTTTCCATCAGGTTGTGTTTGTTTCAAGATAGCTCCGACTCCTTCTAAAGAAGCATCCGTATATATGTTGATTGGTAAATCTTGATCGAAAATTTCCAGAACCGGTTGGGAACATAGAAAGTTCTTTATACTCTCAAATGCTTTTTGACACTCGTGAGACCATATAAACTTCTGATTCTTCCGAAGTAAATTATGTAATGGATCTAGTATAATGGCGCTCTTCGGTATGTACTCGTGGTAAAAAATTATTTTTCCTAAAAATTGTCTTACATTCATTTTGCGTTTTCGGAATAGGAAAGTTTCTTATTGAAATCAAGTTATCCTTTACGGGCCTAACAGAATTATTTTGAATTATATGACCTAGGTATTTAACTGAATTTGATGCAAATGAGCATTTAGTAAATTTTAACCGAAAACCTTCTATTTGTATTGCTTCTAGCAACTGCGATAAATGATCTATGTGTTGGTCAAAAGATTTAGAGAATATTAGGATATCATCTATATAATTAACAGCAAAATCAGTAAGTTTATACTTTCTTAGTATATTACTTAGAATTCTCTGAAAAATTGCTGGTGACGTTTTTAGTCCAAAAGGCAGGCAAGTCCATTGGAAATGTCCATCTTGTGTCACAAACCTTGTCTTTTTTCTATCTTCTATTCGTAAAGGAATAGACTAAAATGCAGAATTAATATCCAGGGCTGAAAAAAAATTACAATTCCTAGTTTTTATCACTAGGTCTTCAATTAGTGGAAATGGTTGTGCTTGAGGTACTACTATTTTATTCAAGTCTCTGAAGTCTAAGCATAATCTGGATTTTTTATTTTCCTCTTTTTTAAATGCTAAAGTAACCGGTGCAGCAAATGGACTGTAGGATTCTTCTATTAACTTATTATCTAGTAATTTGGCTA